GCTAAATTCCTCTATTAGCTCTAGAAGTTTTCTTCTGGACTTTTTGGGATTTTCTTTATGTAGGATCATATCACCTGCAAGTAAAGATAATTTTACTTCTTCTTTTCCAATCTGGATACCTTTTATTTCTTTTTCTTGTCTTATTGCTCTGGCCAGGGCTTATAATACAGTATCGGATAGAAATGGTGAGAGCGGGCATGCTCATCCTGTTCCCAATTTCAAGAGGAAAGCTCTCAGTCTTTCTCCATTAAGTATAATGTTGGCTGTTGGCTTTTCATATATGCCCTGAATCATATTGAGGAATTTCCCTTCTATCCCAATCTTCCCTAGGGTTTTCATCAAGAAAAGGTTTTGGATTTTAACAAATGCTTTGTCTACATTGATAGAAATAATGATGTGGTTCTTTTCCTTTGTCCTATTGATGTGGTGTATTACATTGACGGATTTTCTAATGTTGAATCATCCCTGCATTCCTGGAATAAATCTCACTTGGTCATGGAGTATGACTTTTTTAATATGCTGTTGGATTCTGTTCACTAGTATTTTGTTGAGGATTTTGCATCTATATCTTTGTATCTTTGTCTGGTTTTGGTATCAGGGTTCTATTTATTCCATAAAATGAATTAGGGAGTATTCCTTCCTTCTCCATCTTTTGGAAGAGTTTAAACAGTAATGGTGTCAGTTCTTCTTTAAATGTTTGGTGGAATTCCCCAGTGGTTATCTGGTCCAGGCCTTTTTTTGGGGGGGAGGTTTTTGATCACTGATTTGATCTCTTCACTTGTTATGGGTCTGTGAGACTTTCTATTTCCTCTTGAGTCAGTTTAGGTAGATGGTGTGCTTTTAAGAATTTGTCCACTTTATCTAGGTTATCCAATTTGTTGCCATACAGTTTTTCATAATATTCTGTCATAATTTTCTTTATTTCTATCAAGTCAGTTGTAGTATCCCTCTTTTCATTTCTTATTTTGGTTATTTGCATCTTTTCTCTTTTTTTCTTTGTCAGTCTAGCTGAAGGTTTGTCAATTTTATTGATCTTTTCAAAGAACCAACTTCTGGTTTTATTAATTCTATTGTTTTTCTGTTTTCGATTTTATTTATTTCTGCTCTGATCTTTGTTATCCTTTTTTCTAGTAGGTTTAGGCTTAGTTTACTCTTCTCTTCCTAGTTCCTGGAGTTGTTGAGTTAGCCTGTTAATTTGAGATCTTCTTTTTTCACGTAGGCATTGATTGCTGTAAGTTTCCCTCTGAGTACTGCCTTCGCTGCATCCCTTAAGTTTTGGTATGTTGTGCTTTCATTTTCATTTGATGCCTTTATTATTTCTTAATAAAGAAATAATATTTCTGGATGCCTCCTTTGCCTTCCTGTAGGGAACCTTCCCACAGGAGCAATGCATTCTTTGATAGTAAGTGCAAAGGTGTGTTAGTGGAACTGATAAAAATTATCACTCTCTCTCCACTCTATAATATACCTGAATTCAGAGCATTCAGGGCTAGAATACCCTATTTCTAATGCCAAGCTTCACCCTTAAAAGAAATACATATGAGACAAGGATAAAGCAGGCATCCCTATTGTAGGGTGCCTTGATTAAAAATAACAATTACCAGTTGCCAAGGAGTCAGTTCTGACTTATGGCGCCCCGTGTATCTCAGAGTAGAACTGTGTTCCATAGGGTTTTCAGTGGCTGATTTTTTGGAAGTAGATTGCCAGGGCTTTCTTCTGAGGTGCATTTGGGTAGACTTGAACCTCCAACCTTTCAGTTAGTGCCCAAGATCATGAATCACTAGAACCACTAACTGCCCCAAAATCCAAATTTTGAATTGCCCCTTTGTCATCCAGAGATTTTTATACTGTAGGGCAATGCACCTTGGAAAGATTCAGAATGGGTAAGAAGTAGGCCTTTCTTTTGTAAACTAGGAGAAGAGAACATATCTTTTGTAATGGGGGGGAAGGAAGGAAAGGAGAACTAGCATGATAATTAGACCAGTCAGAGACACATTTCTCAGGTAGATCAGTTGTAGGAAAGAGACATATAAAGTTGAGGCTCTAGAAATTGACTCCCTTAAAACCATGTGTGCCATTTTAGTCCTTGCAAAGTCTTTATGTACTTACAGTGGTATGCATACTTCAGCTAAAGGCTGAATTTAAGGACAGACTTTGTCTGTGGATGATAATCCAGAAATGGGCTACTGGTTCCACCTTGATCTTGTCAGCCTCTCACATAGAGGTAATGGTTTGTATCAGTAGTTTTACAGACCAAAAAGAAAAAATGCATGTACATATGATGTGGCAAGTTTCTATTGACTATTGTCATCAATAATCACCAAATTATTAGATTTTATTCTCATCCTGTTGATTTGTTTATCTAAGGTATAGATCAAGCATATCTTCAGGGCCAGCCTGCAGTGTTTGGGGATTATTTGTTTTTATGGTGTTCTTATTTTTCAACATTTAAAAATCAGATTTTACATAAAAATCCAGGTTTTATTGAACATTTGGAAAATATGGCAAAACTGGATCTATCTTTCCACTTGGCAGTAATCAGCTAGAGCTGATTGTGTCTCTGTTCTTTAGACAATGCATGTGTTTTTGGTTCACTCATTTATGTTTCCTGCCTGGCTTTTGTAGGTATTTACATTTGTGACTCCTGATCTTGGGATACCTGCTGGTCTCTTTTCCACTTGTTAGTATATTAGAATATTATTTAATTTGAAAAATTGATAAATTTGAGTCAATTGCTTGTGTTATTTTTAAGCATACCAAGAACTCTTAAAGAGCGCAATTGAATACTAAACGAGCATTTTATTTTAAATTATTCCTAAGCCTTGTTTTCAGAAGATGTGTACATTTTTCTTCCTTTACTTTATTTCTCCTTTCCTCTGAATTTAGGACTACTTTGGTTGTCAGGAATAGTCTTTTTTTTTTTTTTTTTTAATTGTGCTTTAGGTGAAAGTTTACAGCTCAAGTTAATTTCTCATACACAAATTTATACACATATGGTTATGTGACACTGGTTTCAATCCCTGTAATGTGGCAGCACACTCCCCCTTTCCACCCTGGGTTTCCTGTGTCCGTCCAAGCTCCTGTCCCTTCCTGCCTTCCCACCCTGCCTCCGGACAGGAGCTGCCGTTTTGGTCTTGTGTATCTGCTTAAACTAATAAACATAGTCTTCACAAGTATTATTTTATGTTTTATAGTCCAGTCTAATCTTTGTCTGAAGAGTGAGCTTTGGGAATGGTTTTAGTTCTGGGTTAACAGAGTGTCTTGGGGCCATGGCTTCAGAGGTTCCTCCAGTCTCAGTCAAACCATTAAGTCTAGTCTTCTTACGTGAATTTGAATTTGAGTTCTGCTCCACACTTTGCTCCTGCTCTGTTAGGGACTCTCTATTGTTATCCCTGTCAAGGTGATCATTGGTGGTAGCTGGGCACCATCTAGTTCTTGTGGTCTCAGGCTGATGGAATGTGAGGAATAACCTTGAAAGGCTAGTTAGAGCAGTTAAAAACATATGAATAAGAAAAAAATGCTTAAAGGAGGATGAGATAACCTCACAAGAAATAAAAGAAATGCAAATAAAATGAGATAGTTTTCATGTATAAAATTAGCAAAGGTTGATAATACTTAGTAAGGAAGTAGGGAAACAGTTACTCTCCCACACTGCTTGGAAAAATGTAAATTAATATTATCTTATTGAGAGCACTTTGGAGTATATAGCAAAGTCTTTTAAAGGATGCATATATTTAAACCAACAGTTCCACTTCTAGAAAGGAAATGCCTGGTCAGCTATACAAAGAAAAATGTTGAAAGATGGTCATCACAGTATTTTTATATTAGCAAAAATGTGGGCTTAACTAACCATCAAAAGGGAATTGGTTAAATATGGTACATAGTGTTTAGTATACTAGAATACCAAATAACTATTAAAAATGTTGATAAAGATTCAGTGTCAAAATTTGTTTGTAAATATCATGTAAATTATAGAAAAGAGTCCCATCATCAAAAATGGCATGTCTGATAATATACTTTATTTTAATGTAATATTTTAGTGTTTCAGCAGAATTCTGTATTTTACCTGGTCATTATCAGATGAGTGCTGACTTGCATCAATTTGTCAAGTTCAGGAAGCATTAGCTGTCAGCTAGCTGGTGACATGTTTGATATGAGAAATGTATTTTTGTTACACAAGTGGACTGTATTGTCTCCTTTTCTAAGCCAAGACTAATATTTTGTTTCCAAAGGAAAACTGAAACATTTTCCACATTATTCTTTCTGGACAGTTGTAGGTTTTGTTCCAAAAGCAACATTCATAGATTCTCATTTTTCCTATCAAACTTGAAATAGGCCAAATAGCTTTATGAATTCACTTTGTTTGTTTGATTTTTAAGAAGCTTTGCTTGGTGTGAAGTCTTCATTTTGATAAAGTAAGTGGTAGCAAAACTAATATTGTTATTCCATAGACATCCTAAGTCAAGCTTTTGATGAACCTTGGTAGAGGCTGAGATTTTCCAGAGACACACTATATTCTAAATTAATTCTTTCCTTTGCCCTTTTTATAGAAGATGCAAGTCCATACGTATATCCTTGATTGAATCATTGATTAGACAAAGACATTGTTTCTTAAGTGTTTTGTATATCTTTAGCAGTTCCATAGACCCTTTCAGCATGATAAAAGTAGAACTGGAATATTTTATGATTATAATCTGTTATCACTCAAACTCAATTTTAACATGCATTTAGATGTTCATGTATAATAATAGTGTAATAACTTGGTTTAGTGCCTTATGTGTGACAACACAATCAGAGAATATATTTTATTATATGTGAAACTTCCAAATTAAATGTAAATTTCTCTTTAGGTTCATGTGAGCTTGTAACACAGTACGTTTTCTTATGTTTAAGAATATGTTATTTAAAGCTCTGTTTTACTCCCCTAGTTCTTCATACATTTTGCATAAGATTATTTATGTTTACCATCTCATCTACTTTTTGAAATATTTTTCCTACAGTTATGCAGAAGGCATGGAGGGAAAGAAATCCTCCAGCTCGAATCAAAGCAGCCTATCAAGCTTTAGAATTAAACAATGAGTAAGTTTGACATATATGGAAAATAAGTTGTTTTGAAGAACACCCAGGCAAATAATTTTGTCTCCTTTTGTCTGTTCCTAAGACGCTTGGAGTCATTAGCAGTCCTTTTTCCTTTTTTGCATACAAGAGATAAAATTCGTAGTATTCATTGACATCTGTGTTTTGCTTCTGAAATTGTAGATTTATCTGTGCTTTTGAATAGAAATTATGCTAGAAATACTTTTTAAAATGGAGAATGGCAATCTAATTGGTGATAATACTGATAAAGTTAAACCGATACTAAAATACTTAATGCAACTAGTTTTAATTTTGTTTTTCATTTAAAGTATTCATTCAGTTCTGAGAACTTCAGTTACTATTATTAGCCTTGGAGGCATGAGAAGGGGATTCAAAATAAGTAAAACATAGCTCTGTCACAGTTATTTTTTTTTCCCTCACATCAATGACATTTTCTATAGCTCTTTTGTACCAAATTTATGTTTTGAGAACATAAAATTTAAATTTGACTTAGTATTAAATGGAACAGAACAGTAAGTATTAATCTGTACAGATTAAATAGATACCAAGAGTAAAAATGTGGTCCCAGTTGAGATTAATAAATGAATGCTCCCTAGATAAAGTGAATTTAGAGTTGCCCCCCTAGCCCTATACAGATGTATCATCTTTATTAAGAAGACATTCCCAAGGGGGAGTGAAAATGACAGTGTAGGAAACTCCAAAAACCCATTCCTCCATAAAAACAGTAAATAAACTGGCGAAAACTCCCAGAATCAACTTTATAGGAACTCTAGAAACTAATCAAGTTTATAGCAACCTGACTAAATCTTGGTAAGAGAGCTTTATGGCATTTTAACTTACCCTGGCCCTGTCCCCTACTCCCCACCTCAGCAGCAGCCTTGGAGACAACAGCCTACATTCCCAGTACAGGTTCCTAGTACCAGAGGGAGCAAAATAGACCTTACTGTCAAGGAATTGTAGTTGTTTGTTTTGATCTGTCTGGTGACTCCCTGAAATACCACCTCAGAGGGCTTGCCTTTATTTCACTTAACTTTGAATTATTTCATGGCTGAGGCAGCTACCCTCAGGAACATTTGTCAGAAGCATTTAAAGGCAAATGCATTAAACTCCTGCCACTTGGAGCAATAGATAACAACTAGGGCAAATAATAGACAAACCAAAAAGCTTGGCAAAAAAGCCTGGAAAATGAGACACTTTAGAGAATAAGAGCTTTGAAAAGCTTCCGCATATTCCTGGAAATCTCAGAGGGTACATGCTTGCTCAGGGCTGGACACATGCTTGGAAAAGACCTGAGAAGGCCCCAAGCTCTCACCTGGGGCTAACCTTCAGGCTGTGTGCAGGCAGAAAGTGAAGGCTAAGTTGGAGTTGTAAACTGCATGACTGAAAGTGTGCCCCAACACACACAGGGCCCATCTCCAAAGACTGGGAATTTTTTTGTTTTTGTTTTGGTCCCAGGCATTTAAGAAATCTCTAGCTAATCACTAAGCTAACAGAACAGAAACTTCAATGACAAAGAATACAGAACTTGCAAAATTAGTTCAGAAAAGTAACTAAACAACAGCTACAACAAGGAGCAACAACAAATCCTTGTGAAGGGAGAGAATTTGATTTTTGGAGCAGTCACATTCTGATATTCAAAATGTCTAGTTTTCTGATGGGTTTTTAAATAAAGAGGAAAAAAATATATCCAGTTTTCAACAAAAATTTGTAAGACGTGCAAAAAACAAACTGTGACCCGTAGACAGGAAAAAAAGGAAGAGAAATTGTCTCTGAGGAAGCCTAGACATTGGACTTACTAGACAAAGACTTTAAATCAACTATTTTAAATATACTCAAAGAGTAAAAGAAATCATGTACAAAGAACTGAAGGGAATCATAAGAATAATTTATCACCAAATAGAGAATATCAATAAAAATATAAAAATTGTAAAAAGGAACCAAATAGCAATTCTAGAGTTGAAGAGTACAATACTGAGCTGAAAATTTACTGGAGAGGTTCAGCAGCAGATCTGAGCAGGCAGAAGAAAGAATCAGTGAACTTGAACATATGCCAATTGAGATTACCCAGTCTGAGGTGCAGAAAGAAAAAAGAATGAGCCTAAGAGACCTGTAAGGAGCCCTGGTGGTACAGTAGTTAAAGTGCTCAGCTGCTAACTCTAAGGAAAGGTCAGCAGTTTGAACCCACCAGCCTCACCATGGGAGAAAGATACGGCAATCTGCTTCCGTAAAGATTTACAGCCTTGGAAACCCTATGGGGCAGTTCTACTCTGTCCTGCAGGGTAGATATGAGTCAAAATCAACTCAACAGCAGTGGGTTTTATTTGATTTTTAAGAGACCTGTACAACACCATCAAGCATACCAATATGTGCATAATTGGAGTTCTAGAAGGGATGGGTGGTGAGAAAGGGTCAGAAAGAATATTTGAAGAAATCATGGCCAAAAACTTCCCAAATTTGATAAAGACATAAATCTACAGATTCAAGAAGCTCAAGAAACCCCAAGTAGGATAACTTTAAAGAGATTTACACTGAGACACGTTATAATTAAACTGTTGAAAAACGAAGAGAGAATACTGAAAGCAGCAAGAGAGAAGTGACTTGTCACACAAAATGAGTCTTCAATAAGATTAACAGCTGATTTCTCATTAGAAAAAAGGTAGGTCTGAAGGGTGACATATTTACCCTTTTGGTGACATATTCAAGGTTAATTGGATGACATATTCAGAGTGCTAAAAGGCGGGGGGGAAGTGTCAAGCAAGATTTCTATATCCAGCAAAACTATTCTTCAAAAATGAAGAAAACTAAGACATTCGCAGAAAAGCCATAACTGAGATTGTTCATTAGTAGATCTGCTGTACAAGAAATAGTAAAGGGAGTCCTTCAGGATGAAATGAAAGGACACTAGATAGTAACACAAATCCACACAAAGAAATAACACTGGTAAAGGCAACTACATAGGTAAATATAAAAGTCAGTATTAAAGTACTTTTGATTTGTAATTCCTCTTTTTTTCCTATATGATTTAAAAGACAACTATATAAAACAATGATTATAAATTTATGCTGATGGACACACAATGTATAAAAATGTAATTTATGACAATAGCAACATAAGGTGGGGCAGAGCTATATAGGAGCAAAGTTTTTCTATGCTGTATTTGTTTGCCAGCTGTGCCCCCTCCCATGAGGTGTTTCCATAAATGTGCTATGCTAATTTTTTTTTACAGCAACGTGTGGAAGAGGATTGGCATGGCAGTACTTGTGATGGTGCCTTGCAGTGGTAGGGTGTGGCCAGCAAGAAAATGCAGAAGTCACACATTACCTGAGTAAAATTACAATGCTATTGAAACTAAATTGATATTAATTCAAACTAGATTGTTGTAAATTACAATGTTAATTGTAATTCCTAGGGCAACTACTAAGAAAATAACTAAAATATAGACAGTAAAAGAAACAAGAAGGGAATCAAAGTAGTACACTAGAAAATATCTGTCTAAAACAAAAGAAGGCAGTAACAGAGCAACTGATGAACAAAAAAGGTATAAGACATATAGAAAAAATAGTAAAATTGCAGAAGTGTAAGTCCTCACTGTCATTAATTACATTAAATGTAAATGGATTAAATGTTCCAATTAAAAGGCATGAATTGGCAGAAAGGATTAAAAAAAGCATGATCCAACTATACAGTCGGCCCTCCATATCCATGGGTTGCACAACTGCGGATTCAACCAACCACGAATCGAAAATATTAAAAAAAAAAACAAAAGTGATGTGTAGGCATACCCTGCTGTAGCCTCCCGCCAATTGTTCACCTCACGTCTGACGTGTACTATGTAGTTAGGCCTACGATGGTTGGGTCTGCACTGAAGATGTACAGACCTTTTTTTTCTTGTCATTATTCCCTAAACAATACAGTGCAACAACTGTTTACATAGTGTTTACATTGAATTAGGTATTATAAGTAATCTAGAATATATAAAGAACTCTTACAACTCAACAACAAAAACACAACCCAGTCAAAAAATGGGCAAAGGCCTTGAATAGACATTTCTCCAAAGAAGATATATAAAGGCAAATAAGCACATTTAAAAATGCTCAACATCATTACTCATTTCCAAAACCAAACCCACTGCTGTTGAGTCGATTCTGACTCAGCAATACTATACAACAGAGTAGAACTGCCTCATAGGGTTTCCAAGGCTGTAAATCTTTACAGAAGCAGACTGTCACATCTTTCTCCCCCAAAGCAGCTGGTAGGTTTGAACCACAGATCTTTTCGGTTGGCAGCCTAGCTCTTTAACCACTGAGCCACAAGGGCTCCTTCATTAGTCGTTGTTGTTGTTAGGTGCCATTGAGTTGGTTCCGATCCATAGCAATCCTATAGGACAGAGTAGAACTGCCCCACAGGGATTCCAGGGAGTGGCTGGTGGATTTGAACTGCTGACCTTTTGGTTAGCAGCTGAACTCTTAACTACTACGCCACCAGGGCTCCTCATTAGTCATTAGGGAAATGCAAATCAAAACCAAATAATAGTTTAATTATAAAAAACTAGTAAAAAATGTCTGCATTGAGCATTACGCTCTTTTAAGAACTATCTGTATGGGATCAAATTGTCAACAGCAACTCAAAAGTTTAGATAGGAACCTTAGGGGGCAATGAGTTTATGTTAATGGGGGAGGAACAATTCAGAAACGGAGAGAGAGAATGGTTGTACAACTCGAAGAATGTAATTGACGTCACTGAATTGTACATGTAGAAACTTAAATTGGCATATGTTTTGCTGTGTATATTCTCAACAACAGCAACAAAATAAGTAAAATTAAAAAAAACTGCAGTGAGATACTGTATCACACCTATTAGGTTGGCAATAATAAAGATAAATCAGAAAATAACAAGTGCTGGTGAGGTGAGGATGTGGAGAAATTGAAGCCCTCATACATTGTGGGAATGTAAAATGGAGGAGCTGCTGTGGAAAACAATTTGGTGGTTCCTCAAAAAGATATAGAGTCATCATATGATCTAAGAATTCCACTTCTAGGTATATATTCCAGAGAACTGAAAACAAGTGTTAAACAAAAATGTGTGCACGGATGTTCATAGCAGCATATTCATAACAGCTAAAAAGTAGAAACAACCCAAATGTCCATAACAAAATGTGTATCTATACAATAATAATCACTCTTAAAAAAAGAATGAAGTACTGATACCTGCTATAATGTGGATGGATCTTGAAAACATACTAATTGAATGAAGCTAGTCCGAAAGGCCACACATTGTATGATTCCATTTATAGGAAAAGTACAGACTAGGCAAATTTATGACAGAAAGCAGATTAGTGGTTGCCAGGGGTTGAGGAGTGAGTGGCAAGTAGCTGCTTAATGGGTACAAGTTTTCTCTTCGGGGTGAGGAAAATGTTCAGGAATTAGATAGTGGTGATTACTGAACATTGTGAACCTGTCAAAAGCCACTGAAGTACACTTTAAAATGGTAAAAGTGGTGAATTGTATGTCGTGTGAATTTTACTGCAGTTTTAACAAAAAAACAATTCCCAATTGTAAGATTCATTAGTATTCATATAATTAATTTCTTGTAACATCTCCATATAAAATACTTTTGAACAAAGCAACCAAAGTTTAAGGTAAAAAAACCCTTTTTACCTTACTGTAAGCTCTTAGCCACTGCACCGCTAGGACTCCAATTTAGAATTATATTTTGTCTGCTATATAAATGTATATCCATCTAGAACTTAAAAAAAAAAAGTGTTATTGTGTAATTTTAAAACATGAATTGGGTTTTAGAGTCTAGTGTTTAACACAGCAGTGTATCTACTGCTTCAGAGAAATCCAGTGTAATGCAACAGAGAAATCTCTGTTGATTAGTGAAATTATTGGCTACTTCAATTTAGGAGTAGTATTTGAAGGATGCTGAAATGGTATGATTTGCATTTTCCACATGCGTAAGACCCTTTTTCCCCCCAACGGTTTGATAGCTATCTTGTTATAACTTTTTGTTTCGTCCCTGGGCTTGTATTTTTACCAACGATCTCTCTCTTGCTTAGATAAGTGTTGTGTGATAGAAATATAATGTGAGCAATGTATGTAATTTAAAATTTTCTAGTAGTCACATTAATAAAGTAAAAAAAATCAGTGAAATTAATTTTAATAGCATATTTTATTTAACTATATTCAAAATACTGTCATTTGAACATGTAATCAGTAGTTTAAAAAAAGTATTAATGAAGTGTTTTATATTCTTCTAAATCTTCCAAATCCAATGTGCATTTTAAACTTACATCACATCTCAATTCAGGCTAACCACGTTTAAGTGCTCAATAACCACATATGGCTAATGATTACAAGGCAGGCTTAGATAACCAGAACTAAGACATTGTCTCTAGAAGAAATGTACTTGTTATTTCTGGAAATGGAATGGAAACCTCTTTGTTTCTCTTGCATAAAAACAATTAGTTTATCTTATTAGCTAGTTGTTGACTTAAAAGATAAAAAGAGAAATCTCTGTGTTTTAATCGGTAAAGAAAACTTGGAGTCAGCATTGGTGAAGATTGAGAGTAGGAATGGAGGATACAGAACTGGAATTCAGACCAAGGAAAGTTTTGCTGTAGTATGATTGTGGATAAATCCAAGGGAGGTGTGGGTGGCATGGAAAGGGTATACTCAGGATTGGGGAAATGCCTAGTCCTGGAATATGTTTGAGTCAAATGATAAAGGTACCTAGTTGGCCAAGGGACTTTCTTCCCAATTTCCACTCGCTCTTATCCCCACACCTATTAGATGGGTATTACAAAATATATAGTGACTAAGAGCATACATAACCACTAGACTGTATAGTCCTCTAAACTACTCTTTAGATAATACTTTATATATCTCCTTTTCTCCTTCCCTCCACAAAAGGAAAATGCATGACAAAGGGTCAGAGAAAGGACATAGAAATTTAAAAAGATAGAAAATAAAGAAAGAGAAAGCTAGAAAAGGGGGGAAATGGTGGGAAAAGATGTAAGTGATATACCAGTATGCCTCTAATAACTTAAAATATTGAATGAAGTTTTGTTTTTTTCCAAGAGACTGAGCATACAGGTAAAGCAGCTAGGGAAATGTGAGGTAAAGGGCAAAGAAATATACCCAAGAGAAATTTCTTGCTTTACCATTTTACTTAAAATTGTCTTGCTTGCTTTCTTCATAGCTGTGCCACTGCATACGTTCTACTGGCTGAGGAAGAAGCAACAACTATTTTAGATGCTGAGAGGTTATTTAAACAGGCACTCAAGGCAGGAGAAACAATTTATAGGCGGTCACAGCAGTGCCAGCACCAGAGTCCTCAGCATGAAGCACAACTGAGTAAGCACATTTGAACTGATTTTTGTCTGTATTTTAGCTCCTGCAGTTGGCTCTTTTATACTTAAAAAACAAAACAACAATTAAAAAACAAAAACAAAAAACTTAATACTTAGATGTTAGCTAAATTTCATAGGAGATAGCTAATCTATTCATAATATCTACAAATCAGCAAGACAGAAATATGTATTAGTCAGAGAATGCTTGTGGAAGGTCACAGTGCTGCTCTGGTTAATGAGAGGAGATGTGCTGTTCTGAGACTTCCTTTATTTCATGGGAGAACTGGGCTGGTCACTGGAGAAACAAAACTGAAAGTGTATTTAAGATTTAGGAGAGCCTTCTACTGATGGTAAACAGCTACTCCCTTCAAGCACCAGTAGAGGTACAGCATTTGGTTTGCTCTTCAGACTGTATATATCTGCATATAATGCTAGGGATTGGCCCCTTTCACACCATCTGATTCTTAGCATGCAATCCAGCCTCATACTTGGCATTGATTTTTTTTCTTTGGTTGATTTTTCTCCGTGGTGTGTTTGGGATCATGTGGGTCATAGCAACTAAGGTCCTTTCTTTTTTAGGGCTACTCTCCCAATTATGATTAAGGCACTTTTACCAAAGTTGTTAGACTCAGAAGTGCTGCAGCTTCATGCTATTTTTCTGCCCAGAGGGTTTTTGTTTCATGATTTTGGCAGATAGTGGACAATAAATTGAAATATGTTTATGTAGTGCATTATCTGCTAGCAGTTAAGTTCTAAATCTTTTTGTTTGTGGAAATTAAAACTTGGATAATGCCCTCTCTCTAGGCTAAATATTAATGTATACAGTGTGTTTCATTAATACATGCTGTAGCACACAACTGTGTGAATATATAATTTTGCAGTATGGAACTAATGAAACTACATCTGCAAAAAAGTCATGCCATTTTATCCTTGTATAATCTCAACTATGGTTATGAGATAGTTGCAGAAACATTTGTTAGCTCTTTCTAGAAGTAGTTTTATAGTTTGTTACTTACTGCTGCTAAGACAATAACTTGTGTTAGCCATGGAAATTTTGTTTTGGAATTTTTTTTGTTTGCCAATTAAAACAATAGAGAACATTAAAATAATAGATTGTTTATGCAGAAATAATATGTTAATGTTATTGCTTCCTATTAATGTATGTGCTTCTAGTCAAGTATACCTGAATACTTTATATGTAAACTGGTCAATGATACATGAATACTTCATATGTACTGTACTCAGATGACTTACTTTTTTGAGGCAAAAGTAATTCAATATATATTTTTAAGTTTTTAATAAGAAAATTTCAAACATACACAAAAATAGAGCAGTATAGTGAACCCTTATTCAAGAGTCATCATCCAAATTCAACAATCATCAATATTCTACTGTTCTGACACAACTTAATTTTAGTTGCAGGGTAAGCAAAAGCAAAAGTAATGGATGTTATGTTAATGAAGTAGCAGGTCATAATACAAAAATTATGTCATTTTTCATTTTTTAACTAGGAAGAGATACCAATGTACTAGTATATATTAAAAGAAGATTGGCAATGTGTGCAAGAAAATTAGGAAGAATAAAAGAAGCAGTAAAAATAATGAGAGATGTAAGTAAATTTGATGACTGTACTAGTATCAAGAACTAAAAATGTAGTTTAAGTTACTAGTTATTTTAGTGCAGAATTGCTGTTTTCTAATTGGTAGTTTTTATAAGATGTGAGTGTGTGCGTGTGTGTATATATATGTATGTGTATGTATATATATATGCATGCATACACGTTTCTTAGGGATTGAGTCTCCACAGTTTTGTTAAGAAAAGAAGACTTTTCTGCTTTAATGATTCTGATTCAGCTCCACCGAGTTCCTCTTTTATGATTTCAGTCTTTTTTCTTTTAATATACAGTTGATGAAAGAATTTCCTCCTCTTACCATGTTGAACATCCATGAAAATCTCCTAGAATCACTTTTAGAACTACAGGCCTATGCAGATGTTCAGGCAGTTCTAGCAAAATATGATGGTGAGTGATATTTCTCTTAGTTGCTATCATGGTTCAGGTATTTTTTTTCATTATGTAATCATAAATATAATCCTATCCTAGTATTTCCTGGTTTTCTCTTTCCATTCTTAGCAATCACTGTTTAGTATGCATGGGTACAAGTTGCTAATAAGTATCTTCTTTATCAGGACTTTTAATAGCAAAAACCTGCAAGGAGAAACCTTTCTTCTGACAAGATGCATTTGTTTGTTTGTTGTTGTTGTTAGTTGCTGTCCAGTCAATTCCGACTTGTGACGACCCCATGTTTATTGAGCGCCTGATATGAATGAGGGAGTCCCTGGATGGTGCAACATTTAGCACTCGACTACCAGCTAAAAGATTGGCGGTTTGAACACAGCCAGAGGTGCCTTGGAAGACAGGCCTGGTGATCTGCTTCCAAAAAGTCACAGCCTTGAAAACCCTATGGAGTAGTTTTACTCTGCATATGTGGGGTCGCCATGAATCAGAATCAACTCTGCGGCAACCAACAACAACAACAATATGAATGAGGCACTAGGAATATAATGGTGAACAGGAAGACATGAGCTTAGCCATCATATGGTTTACAGTTTAGTGAGACATACAACAAAAATGTACAGCAGTTACATTAAAGCACAGTATGTTAGGCAAGATTAAGGGTACTGTGCATGTACCGTGTTTGTTTTGGAGTGTCAGGGAAGGCTTTCTAACAGGTTGCTCAGTGATATGCCTAAGAGTAATTCACAATAACATTTTTACAATGCTTTATAGTTACAAACTGTAATTCATTATCTCATCTTATCCTTAACAATAATCTTGTGGGGTAGTAATACTAGTATTTTTACTGTCTCCGGTTAATAAATAAGGAAACTGGAGTTCAAGAAAGTTAAGTGATTGGCTGAGATCTCTCACCCGGTAAGTGGCAAAAGTGAACTTAAATCCAGGTATTCCATTTCTTTGTTCGCTGGTCTTCTCATAGCAAGAATTCAATAATATTGGCTATTTGTATTATTGTACTAGGTCAGTGCCAATTTACCACAAATGAAATTAGGAGAATGTTAAGGAAGCACAGCCTTTCTCCTCATTCTGTGTGTGTTGCCTGTGAGGCATCAGGCTGAAAGCATCCTAACTAGCATAATGTTTCTTGTCATATCTTTCACTATAACCGAACACATATAAGTTATTTACTCACACTTGTCTTATTGTGGGTTCCTATCCATTAGCTTGGGAATCCCTATGATTTGGAAAGTTTGAAATGTGTTATGCTTGGAAAGAGAAGTTTATTTCTTTTAAACATCTGGAGTTCTTAGGAAGTACTTCAGAATAGTGTAGGCTTATAGAGAAATTTGTGAGAAATTCTTTCCATATGTAAGTTACTAGATGCGTGGCCTGCTTATGATACTTATGATGAACAAGCTTAGCAACTGAATATAAAATATCAGAATAATACCTGATTAATTAAAAATAACATAAAATTAAATTAACAACTTAGATATGCTTCTGTGTTTTCAGTTATTTTCATGAATCCCAGTTTTTACCATTCTAGAATTCTAAAGAAGTTAGGAACAAATTTATTGCTTTAGTTCTCCATTCACTAGTATAGTTCTGAAATCTGTAACTTCAAGAGATTTCTCCACTCTTATTCTTCTGATATCATTACTTGGGACATTCTTCCAAAAATAATTTATATAGTTAATTGATTTCTAGTTTCAGATTAACTTATTTTATTTTTTTAAAAAATCATCTTTAAGAAAATGTAGAAAATATAAAAACATAGGAAAAAGAAAAAAATAAAAACCATCCTTGGCTATATCACCTAGATTTAATTAACTACTGTTAAATATTTTTATTTTTTCCCGATATTAGTTTTTCTCTTTGAATTGGTGTAGTTTTTTTTTTACATAGCTGTAGTTACACTATGCCTTTTTCCCTGAATTATTGTAAGCAGATTATAATAAACATTTGTTGAGTATGTTTCAGCATTTTGCTGAGGGCTTTCAGAGACATTATTTAATTTAATCTTCAGAATAACTCTGCCAGAAAAGTACCATTCCCTACTTTGAGAAAAGTGAGACTCAAAGAAGATGTTACTAGCACAAAGACACAGAGCTACTAAATAGTAGAGTTGAGATTAAACTTGAATCTTCCAACTGCATGTCCAGGCACATATTCTTTTACATTTGTTGAACTTGTACTATGAATTATTATTAAAAAATTGTCTTAAGATATTTTATTGTGATTCCTGCCTAAATTGAAAATTATTATTACAGATATAAGCCTTCCAAAGTCAGCAGCTATCTGTTATACAGCAGCACTGTTGAAGACAAGGACTGTTTCAGATAAGTAAGTAGTTATGAACCAAACCAAAACCAAACCCACTGCTATTGAGTCAATTTGGCTTATAGCGACCTTATAGGACAGGGTAGAACTGCCCCCATAGGGTTTCCAAGGCTGTGATCTTTACGGAAGCAGACTGCAAACATCTTTCTCCCACAGAGCAGCTGGTGGGTTCAAACCGCCAACCTCTGAGTTAGCAGCCAAGCACTTAACCACTACTCCACCAGGGCTCCTTAAGTAGTTACGAAAACTACAATAATTTGGAGAGACTGCTAAGCTCAATATTATGTTTTTCCTGTACGGACTTCAAACAGTGCTGTTTTTCCCCCTCTCCCATAAACCAAAACCAAACCCGTTGCCTTTGAGTGGATTCTGACTCATAGTGACCCAATAGGACAAAGTAGAACTGCCCCATAGGGTTTCCAAGGAGCAGCTGGTGGATTTAAACTGCCGACCTATTGATTAGCAGCTGTAGCTCTTAACCATTATGCCACCAGGGCTCCTTTCCCCACTACTTCCTCCTGAATAACCCTTGATCTTCTGAAACTTTGAGGTTTCTTACTGTGTATAGTAGTAAGGACAAGGTTTTTAGAGCTAAGTAAACCTGGGTTCAAATTCAGACTGTACTACATACCAGTGGGACGTGGGGCAAGTTAATCAGTTTGAGTCTCTTCCTCATCTGTGAAATGAGAATAATAATAACCACACTGAAGAATGGTTGTATGAGAATTATGTGAGTTAAGTGCCTAAAGTAATGCCTATCAAGAAAGTACGCAACAGTAAATGGTAGCTATGATGATGCTAAGATATATAATAGGGAGATTGGTTTCATGTTGTTTGTTCTTACATTATAATTTTGAGTTAGTCTGCTTTCCTTGTATTTTTGGCTGCCCTTAATGCATTTCTCTTTATTTCACAGATAAGATATTCAGAAACCAACCAAATGGCAGCAATTTTCTTTTCCTTATATTACTGTATCTTGATATGAGTTAGAATGGATTATCTATCCCCAGTCTATTTCCTCTCAGATAAAAATTTGATAAGAATGTACTTCTATGTCATAAGATTCTGTGGATTGCCCTGTGTAGCATTTCTTAAAGTCTACCTTCAAAGGACTTCTGAAGGCTTTCTTCATCTACGTTTGAAGATTTCCATTCCTTGTTTTGTTTCGCTTTATGTGTTGAATCAGAAAGCTTTACTTTTCATTTTTAATAGTCATCTGGCTTTGTCTTTGGCCATCACCAGAAACTGCTTTGATTCTGGGAGCTGGGTTATGATCTGAGTCCATAATTTTTTGTATATTTCTTCATTTTGTGATTTTCTTACAGATTCTCTCCAGAAACAGCATCCAGAAGAGGGTTAAGCACAGCAGAAATTAACGCCGTGGAAGCAATTCACAGAGCTGTGGAGTTTAACCCTCATGTTCCAAAAGTGAGAAATTTTATGATGAAAATACTGCTTTTATTTAAGTTTACCAAATTGGTGACCGTGTTTAGACCACAGTTTGAGTCTTCACAGTTTGAATCAGAATTGTTTTGGTTTATTTTGATGCTTATTATTCACTTCAAAGGGGATGTTAAAAGACACCTTGAAAGGTAGGTAGGAGCAATAGTTCACTATAGGCTTTGTCATTGCTGTCAAAGTAGAATTTGAAGTGTATTCACTTACAGTTCCTTTTATGATAATTTTAAAGAAGAAATAACTAAATGACTTGGTCTTAATAAAAAATCATTCATGTTTCAGATCATTAAATCAAATTTCTTATTACTGTAAAAGCTTTTTCTAGACGGATGGCTGAGTTTTGAACTAGGGCTGAGTAGACAAAGACTGAAGACAAATAGATTAAAATAATCAATGATAGGAAACAGATGTGGAAGTTCCCAGAAAAACTGCTGAGTTGATATTTATTTAGTCCCACATGAAACTGTGTACCCATCTCGTTTTTCTTTATATTGTACACCTTGCAGACATACAAGATTATTGGCTAATCTTTGTGTATTATCATCCAAGATTAAATTTTGGGTTTTGAAAACAATGCCCTATGTTAGGAAGCACAGAATATTCAAGAATAGTTGCTCTTAGTACAAAATGTAATTATAGCTGTTCATCCAGTATAGTGTGTGTTAATGAAACTTGGAAGCTAGTAAACATTAAAGAGATTAATCTCTAAAAGATAATCTCCAAGAAGAAGAAGTTGTAAACCTGTTAGATTAAGTAAAGATATGGTCATAAAAATTACTGTAGTCTGAGTGTCAATGACACCAATCCATAAATTTAAATAAACTTTTAATTATGAATCATAATACATATGCAGAAAAAGTATACAAAACACAAATGAGCTTCTTAATGATTTATTATAAAGCAAATGCTTGGAAACTACCACTTAGGTCAGAAAACCTTGCCAGTACCCCAGAAGCCCACCTGCCACTCTTTCCCAATCACAATTTCCTCCTTCCTGCTTAAAGGGAACTACTATTCTGACATTATTTCCATTTGTTTCTTTTCTTTATATTTCTCATCTATGCTTTTCCTTTATTGCTGGCTTTATAAAACAAGTTAAGGAGTGATTCCTCTTTTTTTATTCTCCAGAATAATTTGTATAAAATTGGAATGATTTCTTCCTTAAATGATTGGTAGAATTTGCTGATAAAGCCATTTGCGTCTGTAGTTTTCTTTGAGGGAAGGCTTATTTTACAAATTCATTTCTTTAGTTTAATAGTTTTATTTATAAAATTCAATTGCTTTAACCATCCCATAACTACTCAAATTTTTAGTTTCTTCTTCAGTTTTGGTAAATTGTGTTTTTCTAGGGATTCATCTATTTCATCAAAATTTTCTAATTTATTGTTATAAAGTTTTTTTATAAAATCTTTTATTATCTTTTTTATGTTTGCAGGATCAGTTGTAATATCTACTTTTTAATTCCTAACATTGGTTACCTTTTTTTTCTTGATCAGGTTCCCCAGGGTTTTATGAATTTTATTAATCCTCTCAAAGAATCAGTCTCTGGCTTTGCTGATCCTCTCTACTATTTGTTTTATGCTTCATTCATTTTTGTTTTTTATTTCCTTTCTTCAAATTTCTCTGAGTTTATTTTATTAATTTTTTATTTCCTGTATCTTCTTGTGGTACTTAACTCATTCATTTTCAACCTTTTTCTAATATATTCCATTAAGGCTATAAACTTCTCTGTAAGCATGATTTTAACTGCATCCTATAGCAATATTTTTAATTTAATTCAAAATACTTTCTAATTTCTATTATAATTTTTTCTTTATTTAGAAGTATATTTCTTTATTTCCAAGCATATAAGGATTATCTCTTTATTAGTAATTTCCAGCTTATTTTGCATTGTAGTGAGGGAACATACTCTATGATTTCACTCCTTTGAAATATTTTTCAGTTATTGAATTTCTGTTTATTTTTCATATCTCCTGTGCCATTTATAGTTTCTAATTCTCTGCCAAAGTTTTCAGTATAGTCTTCTATCTCTTTGAAAATAGTTTAAGGCAGTTACTTTAAAGTCTTTCTCTGATAATTCCAGTATCTGGAACTCCTGTGTATCTATTTCTAGTAACTGTTTTTTCTGCTGCATCTTGTTCATGCTGTCTTGTTTTCTCTTGGGCCTGGTTTTCTTTGACTATGTGCCAGATATTATATTTGAAAAATTATAGTAGTTTGAAGCCTTGAATAATATTATCTTCCTCCAGAGAGGATTTCCTTTGCTCTTAAATGCACTAACAGGCTGGTATGACTTTAATTCAGTTTCAGGGATTGATATTTTCTAGACCACCCAGATGACTTGAAGCTGGGCTGCAGTCCATGAAAGTACTGATTTATTTCTGATTTAGTCTTATTCCTAGGATGCAGCCTTTCAGGGTCCCAGTACAACCCTGGGGTTTTACAAGGGCCCTCACCTTTGACAGGCCTTGTACGTCCAACTTTTGTCCCCATAACGTTTTGAAACTATCAGAAAGGAGGAATAGCCTCTTAGCCATCTCCTCCAGAATTGGCAAATACTCCTCAGTAAACACCAAACCAAACCTGTTGCCATCAAGTCTGTTCTGACTCATAGCGACCCTATAGGAAGGAGCAGAACTGCCCCATAGGAGTTCCAAGGAGCGGCTGGTGGATTTGAATTGCCGACCTTTTGGTTAGCAGCCAAGCTCTTAACCATTTTGCCACCAGGGCTCCCTCCTCAGTGAAAGAGGCCGCAAATGTGGATTACTTCTCTGGATTTCTGTCTTCTTTGGACTATGGCCTGGTAATTCTTCACCCTTTTGTCAATTCTCTGATATATTCAATTATATGTTAAAAAATACTTTGTTCAGTTTTAGTAGTAGTTCTCAATGGTGGGTTGGTCTCAATTACCCAGTCTTCCATTACTTGAAGCAGAAGTCTGTAAAAAATTTTTTAATTTTCTAATTTATTTTTTGTTGTTGAGAATATACATAGCAGAATATACACCAATTCAACAATTTCTACATGTACAATTCAGTGACATTGATTACATTTTTTGAGTTGTGCCACCATTCTCACCCTCCTTTTCTGAATTGTTCCTCCCTCTTTAACATGAACTCACTGCCCCCTAGGTTTTTTTATCAGATCTTTCGAGTTGCTGTTGTCAATTTGATCCCATATAGATAGTTCTTAAGAGAGCATAATGCTCAAGGCAGACATTCTTGACTAGTTAAGCTAAACTATTGTTTGGTTTTAAGAAGACTTCAGGGGATATTTTTGCTTTAAGGTTTAAAGATTATCTCAGGGCAATAGTTTTGGGGGTTTATCCAGCCTCCATGGGCTCCATAAAGTCTGGTTTCCATGAGAATTTGAAGTTCTCTTCTACATTTCTCCCTTTTGATCAGGATTCTTCTATAGAGTCTTTGATCAAAATGTTCAGTAATGGTAGCCCAGGCACGATCCATTCTTCCGGTGTCATGGCAAAGGAGACAGTTGTTCATGGAGGCAATTAGCCACACATTCCATTTCCTCCTTCTATCCTGACTCTCCTTCTTCCTCAGTTGCTCCAGGTGAATACCTTGGAGCTGTATCTTGGATGGCTGCTTGCAAGCTTTAAAGACCTCAGGTACTACGCAACTGACTAGGTGATAGAAAAGAAGCACTAAACGTGATATTAGGCCAGTTAACTGGGATGTTTCATGAAACCATGACCCTAAACTGCCAAACCAAGAAACCACAACCCATGAGGTGTTTGGTTGTACATATGCAGCCTCAGCAGCTGCTCTTTTTTTTTTTTGTTATTGTTGGAAGTATATCTGTCATACAACTTTTACCCATTCAGCTTTTTACAGGTATACAACTTACTGACAGCAATTACATTGACTGGCTGTGCAACACTACTTGTAAGTCTGTAAATTCTTGTAAGTGAAATTCTCTGCTCCCTCATGCTATAGAGTGGTTAAGAACATGGATTCTCAAACCAGCTGCCTGAATTTGAATTCTAACTTCACTACTTCCTAGCTGTATGACCTTGGGCAAGTTACTCAACTTCTCTGTACCTGAGTTTCTTCATGCGTAAAATGGGGATAATATACCCTACCTCATAGAGTTGTTCTGAGGATTAAATGAGTTCATATCTTTAAAGTGCTTAGAAAGAGTGCCTAACCTTTAGTAAGAATTATAGAAGTGATTGTTATTATCCAGGGTGGAATGGGAATCTGTTCCTTGTGTAAGAAGATAAGCAGCAGTTATTGATCAGAACTACTCAAATTAAATAAACCATTACAATATCTAAAAAAATTTTATTTAATTCCCACTCAATTTACTCCCTATCATTGTGGACTTTTTTCCTACTTTGAAAACGTACTCAGCAGTAACAATTCTCATGATGTGCATTGACTTTCAAAACTCCTGTTAGAGCCATATGGGGGGTAATGGAAATGCCAGGCACCATCCTAGTTATAAAATTAAATTGTTGGACAAGTTCTGTAAATCTCCAGATTGAATCTGCTCTAGATAATTTGGATGCTTTTAGGGCTGTCTTTCAAGATTAAGCACACACACACATACGCACTGAAACACTATAAAACAATTATGAAAGAAATTAAAGACAACCTAAATAAATGGCGATATATATCATGTTTATGAATTGGAAGACTCAATATTGTTAAGATCTCATTTCTCCCCAAATTGATCTATAGATTCAGTCAATTCCTATCAAAATCCCAGCAGACATGTTTATGGAAATTTATAATTTCATCCTAAATTTTACAGGGAAATGCATAGGACCTAGAATAGCCAAACAATTTTGAAAAAGAAGAACATAGTTGGAGGACTTACATTACCCAATTTCAAGACATTATGAAGCTACAGTAATTACAGCATGAGTCGGAATCAATTCAATGGCAACTGATACTGATAATATTAGCATAAGGATGAAAATATAGATCAATGGAAGAAACTGAAGAGTCCTGAAATAAACTCACGCATTTATGGTCAGTTGATTTTCAACAAGGGTCCTAAGGCATTTGAATAGGAAAACGATAGTCTTTTCAGTAAATGATGATGGAACAATTGAATATCCATATGTAAAAAAAAGAACCTAGACTGTTCCCTCATGCCATATTCAAAAATGAACTCAAAATAGATCATAGACCTAAATGTAATAGCTAAAATTATAAAACTTTTTGTGCTTTAAGTGAAAGTTTATGATTCAAGTTAGTCTCTCATACAAAAATTTACACATACATTGCTATGTGATCCTAGTTGCCCTCCCCATACTATGACAGCACACACCTCCTTTCCACCCTGGGCTTCCCCTGTCTATTCAACCAGCTCCTGACCCTCTCTGCCTTCTTATCTCACCTCTGGACAGGAGCTGCCCTTTAGTCTCATGTGTCGACTTGAGCTAAGAAGCACACTCTTCATGAGTATCATTTTATGCCCCACAGTCCAGTCTATGTCTGAAGAGTTGGCCTCGGGAATGGTTTTAGTTTTGGGCTGACAGAGAGTCCGAGGGCCATGTCTTCTGAGGTCCCTCCAGTCTCAATCAAACCATTAAGTCTGCATTAAGTCTGGTCTTTTTACTAGAGTTTGAGTTCTGCACCCCACTTTTCTCCTGCTCCATCAGGGACTCTGTTTGATTCCCTGTCAGGGTGGTCATTGGTGGTAGCTGGGCAGCATCTAGTTCTTCTGGTCTCAGGCTGAGGAAGTCTCCCGTTTATGTGGCCCTTTCTGTCTTTTGGCCTAATACTTTCCTTGTGTCTGTGGTGTTCTTCATTCTCCTTTGCTCCAGGTGGGTTGGGACGAATTGCTGCATCTTAGATGGACGCTGACTAGCTTTTAAGACCCCAGATGTCACTCACCAAAGTGGGATGCAGAACATTGTCTTAATAAACTTTGTTATGCCAGTTGAGCTAGATGTCCACTGAAACTATGGTCCCCAGATCCCCGCCCCTGCTACTCTGTCCCTCAAAGTGTTTTGTTGTATTCAGGGAACTTCTTAGCTTTGGTTTAGTCCAGTTGTGCTGACTTCCTCTGTAGTGTGTGCTGTCCTCCCCTTCACCTAAGATAATTCTTGTCTACTATCAGGTTAGTAAATAGATCAAAATAGATCATAGACCTAAATGTGATAGCTAAAATTATAAAACTTTTAGAAGAAAACATAGGAGAAAATCTGTGGGTTAGGCAAAGATTTCTTACATATGACATGAAAAGCACAATTCATTAAAAAAAAAAAAAAGGTAACTTGCACTTCTTCAAAAGTAAAAATTTTTGCTCTCGAAAACATATCATTAAGAAAATGAAAAGATTTTGGTGAGTGGCATCTGGGGTCTTGAAAGCTAGCGAGTGGCCATCTAAGATACATCAATTGGTCCCAACCCAGCTGGAGAAAAGGAGAATGAAGAACACCAAAGATGCAAGGAAAATATTAGCCCAACAGTCAGAAAGGGCTACATAAACCAGAGACTTCATTAGCCTGAGACCAGAAGAACTAGATGGTGCCCAGCTACCACCAATGACCGCCCTGACAGGGAACAAAACAGAGTCCCTGACGGAGCAGGAGAAAAGTGGGGTGCAGAACTCAAATTCTGATAAAAAGACCAGACTTAATGGTCTGGCTGAGACTGGAGGGACCCCAGAAGACATGGCCCCCGGACTCTCTGTTAGCCCAGAAATGAAACCATTCCCAAAACCAACTCTTCAGACAAAGATTAGACTGGACTATAAGACATAAAATGATACTCGTGAAGAGTGTGCTTCTTAGCTCAAGTGGACACGTGAGACTAAAGGGCAGCTCCTGTCCAGAGGCAAGATGAGAAGGCAGAGAGGGTCAGGAGCTGGTTGAATGGACATGGAAAATCCAGAGTGGAAAGGAGAAGCATGCTGTCACATTATAGGGAGAGCAGCTAGGGTCACATAACAATGTGTATATAAATTTTTGCATGAGAAACTGACTTGAACTGTAAACTTTCACTTAAAGCACAATAAAAAAGAAAAGAAAATGAAAAGATAAGCCACAGACTGGGAGAGAATATTTGAAAATCATGTATCTAAAGGGTTTATACCCAGAATATATCAAGAATTATTACAACTTAATAAGAGGACAAACAACTCATTTAAAAAATGAGCAACAGAGCAAAGAAAAATGAAGAAAACCAAAGACTTAAGGAAACAATTAGTCCAGAGGAGTAATGGATCACATGAACCACAGCTTCCACTGGCCTAAAACCTGAAGAACTAGATGGTGCCTGGCTACCACTACCAACTGCTCTGACCAGGACCACAATAGTAGATCTTGAACAGAGTGGGAGAGAAATGTACAACAAAATTCAACTCATAAATAAGACCAGACTTACTGATCCAGTAGATACTGGTGAAACCCCCAAGACTTTGGCCCTTAGACACCCTTCAAATTTGGAACTGAAATCACTACTGGAGATCACATTACAAACAGGCTTATAAAATGAACAATAACACCAGTGAGGAATGTACATCTCAGAACATTGAACTATATGAGACCTAAAGGGCAACATTTGCCCAAAAGCAAAGCTCAGAAGGAAGGCAGGGACAGGAAAGGTGGGCAAATGGACACAGGGAACCAGAGAGGAAGGGAGGTTTGCCAATGTCACGAAACAAACTGTGTATAAATTGTTGAATGGAAGACTAATTTGCTCTGTAAACTTTCACCAAAGCAACAATAAAATGTTCAAAAAAAAGTGAACAAAAGATTTGAATAGATGTATCACTAAAGAAGGTATATGAATAGCTAATAGGCACATGAAAGGATACTCAGCATCATCAGATTAGGGAAATGCAGATTAAAACCACAATGAGATACTACTTCCTTAGAATGGCTATAATCACAAAAACTGATAATACCAGATATCGATAAGGTTGTGAAGAAACTACATACATTGCTGCTGGGAGTGTAAAATGGTATAGCTACTTTGGAAAACAAATTTGCCGTAAAGCACATACCATATGACCCATCATTTCCATTCCTAGGTATCCACCCAAGAACAGTGAAAACATGCCCGTACAAATACTTGTATGCAGGTGTTCATAGCAGCATTATTCGAAATAGACAAAAACTTGAAATAATCCCAAGACAGATGAATAAATAAATTGTGTATATTCATACAACTTAGATATCCATGTAAGTTGTATGTATAAAAATGTTGTATATCCATAGAGCATTACTTAGCAATAAAAATAACAAACTATTAGTACATGCAACAATATGGATGAGCCTCAAATACATTATGCTAAGCAAAAGAAGCCAGACGCAAAAGACAACATACTATATGATTACCTTTTTATGAAATGTCTAGAAAAGGTAAAATTATAGAGACAGAAAGCAGAGGATGCGAGTGAGGATTGACTACAAACAAGAATGAAGGAACTTTTGTGATAATGGTTGTACAACTATACAAATTTACTAAAAATCATCAGACTTCTAATGGATGAATTTTGTGATATGTAAAGTATACCTAAATAAAACTGTTAAAACATAGATTTTAAGATCGTTTTTATTTATAGGTAGACATATTATCCCCTTGACTATCTGGCAAGGCCTATCAATTCAGCTCTATCAAAATATCCAGCTAAAGTAGAATGGTGCTATAAACTTACGTTGTTTGTAGATAGACACTTTAAACTGAATGTTACCAAACAGAATAATTATTAAGGTTTTTTTGGAGAAATTTCAAATTCCAACAACCTGGATAATATCCCACTTAAATAACAGTAGTGTTACATGAACTGAGAGAGCTCTGGAATTTGTAGCTGTCTGTTTTTGCTAGGGTCCTACAATTGATGAAATATGTACAGACTTCTCTCTCTCTTTTTCTTCATCTATAGTCTCTATTCCTGACTCTCAGCCGGAGCCCAGCAAACATAA